AAGAACATGCATATAATTGCTCATAACACAAGAAAATTGTAAAATATGCTTACCTTCTTTAACCCTACAAGCTTTGTGACCTCAATAATTGTATCCTTCCCACCTCCCATCACTTGTGCAATCTCCTCTCTCAACTCCTTTTGCCACTCGGGATGTTCGGCCAATAGGAGCAAAGTCCACGTCAGCGCCAAGGCCGTCGTCTCGTGGCCCCCGAAGAAAAAGGTCTTGCACTCGTCCACCAACTCCTTGGCAGTCAACGCCCTCTTTTTCCGGCCATCCACCACCGTATTCTCCGCCAGCAATAAACTGAGCAAGTCTTGCTTCGACTTATTATTATTATTATTTTTATTATTATTATTATTATTGTTATTGGTCCTTTGGACGATGATGGACCGGAGGAGATTGTCGACCTCTTTTCCGAGGGTTTTGGCTTTTAGGTATTGCGTAGGGTTTAGGAACTTGCCGAAGGGCACACCTACGTATCGATTGGATTGGAATAGGGTGATTTGCATGTCGCGTAGCTTCTCGAGCACCTTGCGCCCGCTCTCGTAGCTTATCCCGAAGCTCGTCTTTGCAATTATTTCGCCGGCTGTGCTGATGATTTCACGCTCGACGTCGATTTCGGGCCGACCGGAGGCTATCAGGCGGGCCCACCGGTCCATCATGTCGGTGGCCGAGTCGACCATTAGGTTGGCCATCGCCTACGATTAATCAATCAGAATTGAGTTCAAACAAATGATTATAGAATATATCTGAGTCTTCTGTTAGGTTGGTCTAATCAGATGTCATATTTTAAAAACCAACATTAATAAAAGTATGACATTTAATAGTATGAGTTCTGCATTTTTTGTTCACATAGTATGACTATGACTGGTCGACCTGCCTAATCATATAAACAACCTCACCCAAGAATTTGTGCAGATATATCTCAAATTTTTATGAATAAAAAGGAAAGAAAATCGACTTATATGTCGATGTTTATTAACTGATTTTCTAAAAATACGTACCTTTAAGTTAGACGGAGAGAATGCGGGAGTAATAACGTGCCTATGGCGAACCCAATCTTCGCCTTCGACCATTAAAAGGCCTTGCCCGAACATAGGCTCTCTATCATTCTTAAAAACAGTTGGTTTTCCCCAACTTCTACCATTTATGTCAGCAGTCATCTGCTTCAAGAATTCAGGGTCTGCAATGTAGAGAAATGGCTCTGTCCCAAGCCAGTAGATGAAGACTTTCCCTGAATAAAAAAAAAGATCTAACTATATTCTTAAACCATAAAGCAAAGGTAAAATGAAGAAAATAGAATTTGGCTTTATTTGGGAAGGGATATATGCAGACAAATGTCCATGCATAAAAGTTGATCAGTAAGTGTTTTTTAAAGCGGGATGGAAAATTTATATATATCTAGGATTTCTTATTTAATATATTTTGTTGATTGCTAGATATATAATTCTATGGATTGACCAAATTGTAATGTAATCACATTGAATCTGACTATGGATATCATGTTCATGTCATGAGTGGATTATACATTTATTTCTTTGAAAAAGTTGAACTTAAATTACAAGTGGTTAATTTTCTCATCATTTATATTTAAAAAAAATGAAAAATTGGTATGATTTATTTTGACAATCTATATAAAACATAATACCATTTTTCTTTAAAAAAAAAAAAAAGAAATCCTAGATTGAGCAATTGATATTCATAGAATCAATAGAATCCTACTTTGAAGATGCTTGATTTTAGTATGGATTTCAAGATTACATCTAACTCAACAACACCTCTCAAAATCAAAAGTCAAAACTATCATAACATCGACTCACCGTGCGACTTTTGCCACCTAGAAAAGTACGGAAACGCCACGGAATGAATATCATTCGACAAGCTCAAATCCGAACACGAAGAAAACCCACAAAAACGGGGCTTACTATTATCACCCTTTCTCATGTCGCTCAAGTTTCCGAGAGGGAAACTGGGCTTCGGCCCAGAAAGCCCGTTTGCCTTGAGCCTTCTATAGACCAAACAAGGCAAAACCCACCAAGAAAGGACCAACCTTCCTACCATAACAACAACAGCAAAAACACCAACAACAATAATTGGCATTGCCGAACTAATTAAACCTAACAAAAGGTGCATTGATGAATATTCCATCTCTAAATGTATGTATGTGTGTGATTTTCTCTCTCAAGGGATATTTAGGAAAAAAAGATACAATTTTTTATTTTTATTTTTTAATTTTTTTGGTTCTTGTGGATGTATGTAATGGAGAGATGAAGGGGTATATATAGGAAAATATGAATGTCAGTCAAAGGCTTGGCTGTAATAAGACTAAAAGAAGAGAGTGCCTTAGTTTGAATATTCTTAATTGTCTTTGAACAGAAAAAAGGTACTATCTTGTTGTGTTTTTTCAGTGTTTTTATTTTTTTGCTTATTATTACGTTTTTTTTCAAGGACGGTTCAAAAACCCCTTTTCCGTCAATGTTTTGATGTGTTAGTCCGTATGAAACCGAGTAACTACTTTGCAGCGTCCATTATCCTAAACCGGCCGCTCATAATATTTACATGGCCTACCCGCCACGTGGCATTTAGTTATTTATTATGATTATTATTATTATTATTATTATTATTATTATTATTTTGTTGTAGTTTGTGTGTGTGGGGTTGTCTATTTATTTTTTTAGTCGAACTTGAAACATTACTTTCGATTAACAAACGGCAATGTTTTTAGAGCTGGATCGGACAACAACCCAGTTCGGAGTGCAGATCATGTCATCGATTCAACTGTTGTGTTACACGGTAAATTTGCATAATCGGATAACTAATTAGTAAAAAAATAGTTAATATATATTACAAATATCAGTATAAACAATAAAATAAATTATTTACATGTGACTTTTATATCTCAAAGTAATGTTATTGACTTTTATCATGAACATTTGACTATAAATATAAATATGTGTAAACAATTTTATTTGAGAAATAAAAATATATATTTAAACAAAAAAAAGAAAGAAAAAGGGAGATATGAAAATCGCGGCCGGGTTGACACGCTTCAGGGTCAACTGAGTCAAGAACATAAATTAAATACGGTTTGTATGACTGTTTTATAGATTTGTTATTTTTTTTTAATATATATAAAAAAGTTTGAGCATTTGAATCAGTGACAAGTTTAAACCATTTACTCCATAAAATTATTTGACTTGGCTAAAATTTGAGAAAGGGAATGAGAGTTAATAGTGTTTAAGTTGCCCAAATTATGTATAAAGGTGTGTATTTTTACATGCACCAAGAGACAAAATTAAAAGTAATGTAGAACTCAGGGTTGTGGTTTAGATACTGCACATAATTATTACACTAGTACATAACCCGTGCGAGGCACGAGACACATATTGAATGAGTCATTTTTATAGGTCTTGTCCGTTTATGCACCAGAAAGAATAGAGTTGAATCATCAATTCTACTTCTTTTAATCAGTGATGTTTATTTTAGTTAGAAATATATATGTTATTATGCTACACGCAGGGACGGATACAGAAATTAAGAGTAGAATGAGCTATAATGTTAAAAACTTATTTTCATAAACATCACATAATATTTTTTTTCTTCAAATATTTACTGAAGTTGTGCTCAACAAACTTTTACAAAATAAAATTTATTAGACTCATTTTTCACAGTTTTTTTCTACTATTTTTAGTAAGTTAATTATTCTCTTTATATATATATAGATTAACCAATGAACAAAAAATATAATAAGTTGTTTTAAAAGTGAGAAATGCATATTAATTCTCCTTTAATATATAAATATAATATATCCATTTTAATCAGAACAAAAAATAAAATTACAAATAAAAACCAATTTTAACCCACGCTATATAAAGTAATTAGTATCTTACGAATAGAATAAAAAAATTCTAACATACTGGAAGAATGTATTTTGTCCTTTATAATATTATATAATATGAAAAAAAATTCAAAATTGATTTTAATTAATTAAACAGTTCAACACCTATTTGATCCTAAGTACAAAGAAATCGCAAGACAATAATGCAAAAAGTAATCAATACCTTATTGATGATTGTATAAATTGATTATATAACGTGTTCGGTAAATAACTGATTTTATGATTTTGCAATCCTCTACATAATAAAGAAAAATGTACGGTAAATAACTGATTTTATGATTTTATTCGAAACAGATTATAATCCCTCGGGAAAATTTATATATCTTTCAAATTTTGAGCGTTGAAATCACAACTTCATATATTCCGAATTTAGTTAAAGAACATCAAAATTTTATGTGTGCTAAAATAATCATTCAATACTTATCCGCATGGAAGTTTCTTAAAAACGTGATCCAATTTGATTATTTTTTCTGATTAATTACTTTTTTTATAGTTTTGCACATATATACAAGTTAATTAAAACCATGTACCAGCACACTCTAAATTTTATAGCTTACTGATAAATAATTTCATGGTAACAACCGAATTATCAACATAAGACCTCATTCTACGGATAACCTTTATTTTTTAATTAAAATAAAATTCACAAATTATGATATACTTAGAAGCTTACATAATTATACACAATTCAATTATTCACACTAAATAGATATACCTAATATTTTATATAAATAGATATACATAATATTTCGCGGGCTATTTTTTAAAAATGGATATACACTAAATAGATATACCTAATTCTACATAATATACACCTATTTTACATATAGATATACCTAATATTTTTTTTACGTTTTTTCATTACATTCAAAAAGCTTTGTCGAACAATTCAGTTAATAATTTGACTTCTCAATACACTTTCAAAACAATTAATCTTTATCTAATTCTCTTATAACTAATCACGGCTAATTACAGTAACTATTCCAGACTTATGAGTGCATAAAATCAACAATGACTTTCTAACTAAATGTAGAGAAGTTGGGTGATCACAAATGTTCTTCATAAGAGTGCGCCGACTATTTATTGGAGTTTAATATAAAATTAAAAATAAAAAAATAAAAAATAAAAATTCAGTAGTCCTCAAAGAATCTTTCCCAAAAAGGACAATCTTGTTTGGCTGTTTCCAAATCTGGTAGCAGTCAAATTATATCATTTTAATTGCAAAGTCGTGATTATAGATCTCATATCCACCCATGCATTTAATTAAGTTCTCAATTCACACTACTGTAGGCGTTTATATTCAAACATTAGTTATATATATATATGATATTTAAATATCAAAACATATATTCTATTAAAATATTATGATTGTCTAACCATTACATAAGGTAATATCTTCTTAAATTAAGTTTTGATGGAGATTTATATTCAACAGTTAGCTATAATCCTAAAAATTCTGTTGTTAGAGTGCCTAATGGTGTATAATTATATATTTTTAATAAAAAACAAATTATATTATTAAGGATCACACTTTATTTATATTATTTTATAAACTATAATATTTGAATATAAAAACACGTAATTTTTTTTGAAAAATTATAACAATATAATCATTAAATGAGATAATTTCTTTTTAACATTTGTATTAGATGGGGCAATTTTTTCTTTAATTAATATAAAAATATTTATGTATGCATTTAAGTCGCTTTGGTGGGCCAACGATAAGGAACTACAATGAGCCTACTGCCTACTAAAATGTAGTTGTGAGGTTGATATAATGAGGAACGTGTTACATGCTTTCATTGATCACCTTTTATCTCCAATCCAACCTAATTCAATAATTTATAATTAAATATTATTTTAAATAATTTAAAATAATTTCTAATTATTGAGTTGGGTTGAGGTCCTACACTACCTAACCGTACAAATTAACTTCTCATTATCTCCAACCCAACTCTAAAATATTTAATTTTATTCATTAAATATTTTTTAAAATTGTTTTTTTCTTATTTTTTTAGTTGTGAAAACTTAATTTAAAAAAGTTTTAAAATTTAAGTCGGTAATGATTTCAAGAAATTAATATTTTATCATACAATTTAAAAAAAATATGAATTCAATTAAAACTTAAAATTAAAAAAATTGTAATAAAATATTGAAATTAATTAAAAGATAAAAATTGAGATTGTGTTCTTAGATCTATCAAACATGGCCTCTATTTGTAGAAAATGAAAAAATAAGAAATTTTTTTTTGTTTTATTTATCTTATCGAAAAATATAATTGTCCAATAAAAATATGATAAGTGTCTCATGGCCCAAATTGATTCTAGAAGCGATCTAAGATCACTTTGCTTAATTTTCATATTTATTTTTGAGATAATTACCCCTCGCACGATTCCAACTAATCTTATTTCTCTTTCCACGAACCTTCGTTTTCATTCGCATTTGCACGACATATTTCACTATTCATTTCCCTTTCTGAAGTCCTCTCTTTCAATTCTTCATTCGTAGAGACAAAATATGAAATTTTCATTCAGTATTTCTCTTCTAAAATCCAAGATCCTCAGATCCCCAACAAGCCAGCAAAGCCAGAGAAGATCTTCCACAGCCGCATCGCTGCAAACAAGGCAGATCTTGGCCGCTTTCCCGGAGGCCTTCAATCAGAATCTGCCATCGGATCTCTCTAGGATTTGGTCGCCCCTTTGCACCGCCGCGCCGCACTGCCGCTGCTGCGTTCGACCCTAGGGATTCGGGTAACAGTATTGGCCGGTGGCGTGAAAGATCGGGCATGTCTGGGCTATTCGAGTGGCCGTTGGTTCCGATTGGGTTGCATAAAAGATATTTTGTTGCTTATTTATCAATTTTAAATAATTTAGTTTTCAATTTGTGGGTTTATTTGTAGTTTACTTTTGTGTATGAATATTGTATATTTGTTCTGAATATTTCAATGTCTATGGAGTATGGATTATATTCATATGTGTTTTTTTTTTTAATTTTTTAGTTTATTTTGTGGTTTTCTTGTTTTCTTATGTGTTCTCTGCATATGTTTTTGTGCTTTTTTTTTTGATATTTTTCATAGTTATGGTATATGAATGGTTTTCATTTTGTTTATTTGTGGTTCCAGAAATTTTTCGCTCCATTATTTTATTGTAATCATGAAGGATTGCAGCAAAATTATTTCCATTCTGATGGATAGTTCGTCTTTTGGTGTAAGAATTTTATATATTTCGTCATTCTGTAATAAAAACTTGTGGCTCGTTAAAATGACGTTGCTGTAAGTTGTCTACGTATATACGTCTTTTAGCCTTTTTTTTTTCGGTCGTGTTTTTCAGGTGACCCACCAATAAACCAAGTCTTATAGGGGTATTTCAAATATCAAATTGATTAAAAGTGAAGGCTCGTGCCTACAAGCCCCACTATTTAATTATATTAAATTTGATGCGCAAGAAGCTTGATTATGTTTAAACTGGTCGAGTCGAGTTCAAATTCTTGATATTCGAGATTTGGCCCAAATTTTTCATCGATCCGAGCTCGGTTATCAAAATGAGCTTGAGATCGAGTTGGATTCATTTATACTATAAAAATTTGCATAAATATCTTTACTTTTGAGACTCAACGACCCATAACAAACTGAGTCGAGCTCGGCTTGTTTACTACACGAGCTTCAGACGAATTCGAATCTTAACATTTTGATTTCACGAGCTATTCATTTTCATTTAATAATTCTGTTGGTGGGGTTAGGATTTTATTGCGATACGGTATTTTTCTTTTGTATTTCTTAAAAATGAGAAATCAATCAAAGTACTAATACTTTGGTATCAATCCATACGGACCCATATCAACAGTCTTAATTTATTAAAAACATATCATTAGTCTCTTTAAAATTTGATTAAAGATTAGCCTCTTAAATTTTAGCTAACCACACGCGTGACACACTGATTCTGGGTCTAAACAATTATAACATGCAATAAAACTGTATCAAAATACAATGATTTTGTTCAAAGAATATAGCACAAAAGTGGTGTCTTATTGGACATTATCCGCTATGTATGTGACATTCGCACAAAGTGCTATATTCTTAGGCATACTATTTTGCAATGTTTCTATGCAAATTTCCACATGTTAACTAAAAAAACTAAAAGAGATTAATATCATCGTCTTTAGGCAGCGCGTCTATTTTTTTAGGTGTTTTTTCTTTTCACAATCATCTGGATTATGATTTATGGGTCACTACAATATTCAGTACGAGAGAGAATTGTTTTTCATCAAAAATTGAATTCTTAGGAGTTAGGAGGATAGCTGGACAAACATTTATAGTAAGAATGTTGTTTGACTGAATGAATGGTTACATATTACACAATTATGTATTTTTAATAAATATGCATATTTACATTTGAACTCAAATATCATATTATAAAAAATAAAATCAAAAAAAGTATGAATTTTGTGGCACATGCATATATTTTTGTTGAAAAAGTATGATAGTTTGACTCGCCTAAAAGTAAGACAGTCTCTTGTGATCATTTTAAGTACAAAACAGAAATTGGGCATTGCCAAAAGAAATATGTGCCAAACCTTGAAAGAAATTTGGTATTTTTTTTTTATTTTTTTTTTTTTTAGAAACAGAGGAGTGAACTTGGTCCCAAATTGAACCCAAAATCCAATCAAAATAAAAATAAAAATCACTGAATCTAAAATTTGGTCCATTCATTTTGTGAACAATATTATCCATAGCATCATTTCAATTTTTTCTAAGTTAGGTACTATTTTTACTCTTGAGTCTCGACTCCCACATTAAAAAGTAAAAACTACTAACTAAAAAGAGAAAATTCTCAACCTTTTTTGATGATATAATCAGCAAACAATAAATGCATTTTACAATTTCCCACATGTAAAACAACCTATTGGAAAAAAAAAATACAATAAAATTATGGATTGCATTTTTTCTTTTGTCACACGGATTTTAACACTCAAAAACTCAAAGGAGACCTGACCTTTTCTGGCCCTGATATTCAGTGTACATGTGAAAATTGAGCTCCCAATTGTTTTGCACCAAAAGGATATCTTTTAGAAAATGATTGATTGAAAAATAAAATCTCTAGAGAATGATTGATGGGCACAATCCATACCAAACAAAGTGCAATGTTTCGGTTTCTAGAAATAGGCACGACTCTTTTTGGATTACCTATTTAATTTTTCAATAGATTTATTGGAAGCACATGTATATGATAGAATCCCCTAATTTAATTTAAGATGGTATTTCAATTCATATTTTACTCAATGTCGGTATTATTTTCAATATAATGATTTATGTTTCTAAAATATTTTCCCCCTTTTATATGATCAAATAACGAATAGTCAATGCAATAAATTCATGATATTAAAAACTCTTGTAGTATTTTCAATGCTGTACATGACTTATCTTAGTTCCAAAATAATTTAGGATAGACTCATAAAATAACCAAGGTTATTAAAGAGGACAGTCACGAGATTTCCTACACCATTTTCATGTTTCACTTCGTTGGATTAATGACACGTGTAAATGATAATGTCATATTTGTACACTTGTCATTCATCCAACGAAGTGGAACACGAAATGAAACATAAAAGTAGAGTAGGAAATCTAGCCCCGTTCACTCAACATAAAACTATTTATAAATTTATTTATATTTATTTTGATAGTATCGCGGATGCATTATTATAAAATACTAATTAATATGAACAAATACGAAAGTTATCTAAAACATAATATAATTATAATTAATATTTTTATTTTAGCATACTCATAAGTGTATGATTAAAGTATATTTTATGAATAAAATAAAAAATTATTAAAAGAAAGGCACTTAAGCGCCGTCTAGCTACCTAGTTTGTCTATGCGTGGTTGACTTTGGCAGCCGTTCAACTCATTTAAGTGCCGTCTAATCTATTTAAACAACGGTTAGTCGGTCAAGCATCTAGAGCAAAATCGTTCGTATACCGCTTAGCACCTTTTATTCTGATTTTAGAATATTGAAAATAGCCCAAATATGTATATGAAGATAACCAAACGAATTACAAATGTTGGGAGATGATCTTCATTTGGCTATTAAGGGAATCATAGTACATAAAAGAAATTTCCTAAAGTTAGGATAACAGTAGCACCTTTCATTTTCCTCTTTATAAGGAAATTGAAATTGAAACTACTTAAATTTACGTTAAATGCCAAATTAAATTATTCACATATTTAATGTAAGCTTGGTGGTGGGACTGGTGGCTATAAAATATACGAACTATTGGAAAACGAAGTGGGCGGTGAAATATTTTTGTTTTAGGCCGAAAGGGATGAATTATTCGTACGGCCCAATTTGGACCACCTAGATTTGACCCATCCTTCGGCCACGTCATGCAGGCCCATACCCAAGCTCTTACTATATTTAGAAAGCATGATGTCCAAAATCATCATTGTTTTCACAAGACTCTTCAAAAATATGCTACGTAGGTTAGATAAAACTTCATAATCTAAGTTAATTAATCAAATTATGAGGTCTCAACCCAATAGTAGTCAAAGTAATAACTATAGTATCTCATTATTTATTGTCTTGATGCTAGCAATGTGAGCAATGTTGATAAGACTATATTTTTTATAACTACATAGATGAACGCATATTGATCCAAAGTATAAAACCTTGTTCATACTGGTAATTGATGAAATAAATTTTAATCCATATGATGTGTGTTGATCCAATGATAATTATTATCAGTGGAAAATAATTTCTCTTATGCCTAGAATTATAATTCGATGACCTAAGTTATAAAAATCTTAAAAATTTCGGGCTTTAAAAAAAGTTGTCCATTCAAATCAATATTATTTTTGTTAGGTTAATCTAACCATTAGGCCCACATACTATTTTAATAAATTCTTGTATTGTATGCTGTCAATCAAATTGGTCAATGGGAATAACATTTTACGCAATGAATGTTTCTTGCTTTGTACTATGCGGATAAATGTTGCAATCAAAACCTAACATTTGATCCTTTTTATACTTGGAGCTTTGAGGTTCGCATTTGTGAAGTTAACGTAAATTATGTTCCACCTTTGGAGCAAGGGACACTTGTGCATACGTGCACCGAACCTTAATATAGTTCAAAGTCAACGCTCTAAAAGCATACCAAAAAATTCAACCCACAAAAATCAAAAATATAATTAGCCATGCATATTTCGTGTTNNNNTAACACCTACTAGGAATATCTAATGTCATACATCCGAGTAGAACAAGCAGAGACGTCGCGAATAGTCGAGTCAAGCATGTTAAGAATAACATAAATAATCGTGTCCATGAACAGTTTGCTTACGGTTTTGGATTTGTTAAACGAGTAGAACAAAAGCTTTCGCGAGCTCAAACAAGCAGAGAACGAACACAAAATACCCAACTCAGCTCCAATAAACCTCTACTAAAAAAACACGCCACATCTCAATAACATTGTTTTTTTCTTCCTTATTCCCCCCTTTTGTTTGAAAAGAAATGTTCTTTCTACTGTATTAAACATGAGAAAATTGCATAGAATTTATGTGGCACGAGAAATTGCAGCAGTCCACATAGGAATGAGGAATGTTTTCCAGTATTCATGTCGCAATAGAGTTTTTCATACCTTTTTCTATTTCATTTTTCTTTAGCTGCAAGTCTTATTACGTCTTTTTTCCCCTGCAAGTCTTATTACATCTTATGGTCGGAGCTTTGACCAAATATTACTTTCCAAATTACGGACAGAAATATAAATGGCCACAAAATACATAAAGATACTTGGAGCAATTTTCTTCTTCTTTTTTTAATGAAGTGAAATAAATAACGAGCAATAGTCAGCAATCAGTAACAATGAAATAACATGATAGCATTATCCAAACTCAACGATGAATTTTCCAAAATAGACCTTACTTTGAGCGCGAGTTGATATTTTTTCGCGAATTCCCCAACGAGCTTCTCTCTAGGTAATTGTAGGACCTTAAACACAGCACATAGATGGGGAAAAGAAATGAAGAGTTACTTCCAATTCCAAATTATGAAATGAAAATGCTCGAATGTAGCATCACCAAGAATGTGTTCCTTCAAGCATTTTTTTTTTTTTTTTTTNATTTTTTTTTTTTTTTTTTGTCATTTTTGAGATTTTATTACTATTGGTAATTCTTTTCATTTTTCAATTTAAACCAAGGTCATGTAAAATAAATGCAGCCACAAACATGGTATGATGAGTATGTCAAAATATATGAAATACCTCTTTTCCACGTTCATACTCGTGAGCTATTCTGAGTCTCAAATTCAAAGCGGCATGGTACATCTCATCAAGAACTTGGTCCCATAGAGAATGCTTATCTACACCCCACACGTGAAACTTTGTTGGTCGACCAGCTCCAGTAGCCGTCAATGTCTGCAATGTGTATAAACTCGACTCGAGTTAATAGTTTCAGCTTCTTTTTCCATCCTTTCAATTTTTGGAAATAAATTGGGTTAAGGAATATTGGTGATCTTGATTAAAATACTAGCCTTCCCATTCTAATAGAGTATATACTTCACATGGCATTTGTAGTTGTAGTTGTAGTTTCAAGTTTTTAACACAGCATATTGTGTTATTTTTAGCTACCAAAATGGAAGAAGATTATACCTCCATGTAAACGAATTCGTCTTTCCAGAGCTTGTACAGGATCTGGATAGCAACTTTCTTGTCGACGAAAGTAGATTCTGCAATCTTTAGAGATGAGCTGATCAGATTACTCGGTAGAAAATGATTTCAGGGAAAATAACCAAAATACACATAGAAAGAACTGAAACTAAAATCACAAAAAAAAAAA